ACTATTTAAATTTAATACCGGTGACTAAGATAAAAGTAATGGGTTTTCCTTATCCATGGAAAATATATACATATTCAGTTACTTCACAAAGTACATTTTGACCTTTCCATCATTTTAAGCCAGAACATATTGCAGGACCATAACAAGAAAACTTACCAATGCAAAGCAAAGGGATCAGATGAAGCACTGGTGAAAATAACTGTATTAAGGGGAAAATGTCTAACATAATATCTGAAACAAATCCAACAATAAATACTTTATTAACAATCTTTAATCTGCCTATACTGTAGTAGAGGTGTAGTCAGCTGTAAAATAAAACCTTTTTACATCAGCTTTTAATGCCTTAGTCAATACTTGCCTTTGAAACCGATCCAGGAAACTGAAATAGTTGCAGTTTTAGTTTGGTTTGAAATCCAAAAACAGTGATTTGTTTCATGCCATTTTTTTTTAAATTATTTCCTTGTCTAGTAATACCACTGTCTACAGTAAACTTCACTAAAGTGAAGTTCAAGAACAACCTGAACCATGATGTTCCTTGTTCTTGGGCAAATTAAATACAATACGGAGTTGGATGTCTATTTAATTTGGAAACCCGGTGTCATAAATACCTTCCTTTTGCTGAGTGACTCACCAGTTATTTTAGAATTGGTTTTCAGTCTCGACTTCTAAGAGAGATGACATGTGTGAAGGAAGTCTGACTTCACATCCATAATTCTCTGACCTCTGATGCCCATGTCTGTTTCGTGCAGGACCTGCCAGTACTTTCTGGGTTAAACGTCTGTTCAGATGGTTCTGTATTCCCCCATGACTTAGTTTATTCAAGTAGCATGGAAAGAAGGAAATTGTATGAAAGGAGGAAAATCTGTCTTACAAGAGACGGGCCAGACTGTGATAGGCTGATGTCATCTGGAAAGCATTTGCTGCTTTTCCTGCTAACATTAGTTTGTGGTTTTTTGGTCTCATCATCAGACTTAGTTATTTTTTTATAGTCCCTGGGCATAAACTAATAAGGTATTATGGTAGTGTTAGAAGTGAAGCAGTAAGAAGAGGATGTGTAAGAGGCTGCGTATGTCGAGTCTTACTGCAAATACCCTTATCAGTACATGCTCAGAGAGGGATCTGTAGTAGGCTATGCTAAGAAATACCAGCATAGTACATGGAGCACCAGGTGGACTAATGGAACAGTGATAGAAGATTCACAGTTCCTTATAGTGGGACTGCAAAAGATTCAAGCTACATGCCACTAAAAGTTGGATCTCAGTCATGGTTCTATTTATTTTTAAAAGAAAATGGTGTTCTTTCTTGTAAAGATGGATGAATATTTAAACACTAGTGTTTAAACTATAGTATGTTGTGGGATGTCCACGCTTTAAAAAAAAAAAAATGTAAACCCTAACCACAAACTTATTTTCATTATCTCCCTTTTTGGTCTGTAAATATATTATTGAAAATGGTTTTAATATCTGTTTGGTGAGTGAAAAATAATACCTGTTGATTCTGCCAAAACATTTCTGATAGAGACCTTCTAACTTCCTGTGCACTGTTTTATGTCAAACAATAGTCCCTGTCCAGTTCACTTCTGTGGACTACAGAACACCCTCGATGTTTTGGAGATGAAGAGAGTGGGATCATTTCTGTAGCACTAACACAATTCATATCGTATCGTCATGGTGCTGTTCCTTCATAGATGCAGTACAGTACAGCAAGTGGGCATTATCACCTTAGTACAGAAGGTGTTACTGGCAGGATCATCAGATAAAAATAAGGGAAAAAAAGCTAAAACAGATAACCAAACAGCCACTACAAGGTGGTGTATAAACATATTTTGTTCCTGTGTTACTTCAGTAGTTCTTACGTTTAAATGAATAGGCCTCATCTATAATATGGATAAATTAATCTATAGGTGTGTTTTAGTCATTAATATATGGGCCTCCTAGATATACAGCATTTCACACTCCCAGAGTCAAAGGGGTTGATTTACTAAAGGCAAATAAGTTGTTCACTTGGCAAGAGGATTCTCACTTTTGCAGGGACACTTTCTCTTTGCTTACTAATTGAGGTGAAGTTCTGCTGATTTCCATCATCCAATCGTGTGCAATCAAAAATATATATTTTTTTAATTTTCCTTGCATGTGATTGGTTATTTTTTGCAACGTGAATTTTTAATACATTCACTCAGCTAATGGGAAATTCCCTTGCAAAGTAAACAGCCTCTTTGCCTTTAGCAAATCAACCCCAATGTGTTAATTCAGGAATGTATGCACTGTTGTGGAATTGTTTAATAGAAGGGGAACCTGCCAGGACAGTTGTTATCTGTGGCAGACGAGCATTCCATTTTGCGGCTTAGGTTACCATTACACATCTAACAGATGAAGTGCTGCTCTAAAGCCTGCCATGCTTGGCTTCAATTTCCATTGTTGCCTGCAGAATTGGAAGAAATTCGAGCCATGTTGGCACCACTCAGCTTCACAAAACTCAATTTCAAAATCGAAGGAGTCCGTTGGAAAATTGTCAGCTGAACAGTGGCTGCATCCTATCAGATGAAGTCATTGTTCGGGTAGTCTGGCAGCCATGGGCGTCAACAACTGTATGAATACAATAACCAGCAGTGTAGATTCCCCTATCCACACAGTTTAGCATGGATGGGGGAAACTATATGTATTCGGCCAGCTCAAGATTCAGAGAATCTCCTTATCTTTTCTCAGTACTGCTTCAAACTGACTTTCAATTACAGAGAGACAATCTGAAAGCCAATAGCTATAGCTGGGCTCTCTCTTTACAAAACACATCATGCCAAGCACAACCAGTGGGATACGTACAGTGTCATGTATAAAATGTTTGTGGTTTAAATAATGATTTTATACAAATATTAAAAGGCAGATTACAATATAAAACACAAATTTAATATTAAAATGGTGCAAATCAGCAGTTAGTTCTTTTTGGCACTGTCTCAGTGTAACTGTTGCGTGGATTCCACAGTGGCTGGCAAAGGTTGATCAGACAGTCAATGACTGAAAGAAGGCATTAGGCTCCGTGAAAGTAATTTCTTTAATGTCAAAAATATACTATTTAAGATTAAGTGGTTTCATGAATTCCTCCTATATATGGATTTCTTAGGGAAAAAAAAATCCATGAATGCTTTCATTTTTCCTGCTGCACTGTTCTGACTCGGTAATGAGCAACTTTTTTTAAGCTAGTACATGGCACAATAATTGATGTGTGTTCACTGATTTGTGCAGTGGACTCGCCAAATGATATGTCTGTAAATGATGGTTTTAGTCTGCCGTGTAATCCTGCCTGAATGAGTCTTAGTTATCACCACATTAATGTAGAAAACCGTGGACAGCAGCTGACTGATTGCTTCCAGATGAGACACACACATAGAACATTTGTCGGCTGTGTGCAGTCCTGACCATCCTGCTGCTGAGGCCAAAAGCCCACAAATGACATTGTCCTACCCAGCAACAGGCCCAGCGGGAACAAACATGTTTTTTTGTGAAAATCACACATAGTTATAAAATGACATATCTTGTCCTCTGCAAGGTCAAGTGGAGTTTTCAATGAAAGTGAAGTTCAGTAACACAAGGCAAAACCACCAATGAGGAGCCATCCATCAGTGCCCTGACTGCTCACGACTACATTGCTTTAGGGAGACAGGAGCTACAGACTCTGTTTGCTTTTATTGCCACCTGCTGGTGAACTTGATGTAATAGCTGCTGAAGCTGTCTCTTTATTGCTGTTTGGATAAGTTTCTGAGCAGTGTAAACAATAAGGACACAGGAAGTCAAATGTTGTTCAAAAGAGGTCTGTTTAAAGTGGGAACCTTCTGAAGTACTGCAAACAGAATTCCAAATTGTGTCTCTGTGTAAATTTCCTTTAACCACTTAAAGACTAGGAGTGGGATTTATCAACACTGGAGCAGACAAAATCTGGGGCAGCTGTGCAAGGCAACCAATCAGCTTCTCTCTTCAGTTTGTTCAGTTAAGATTTGAAAATGAAAGATATAAGCTGATTGGTTGCCATGCACACCTGCTCCAGATTTTGTCTGATCCAGTTATGATAAATTCCCTTCCAGGTGTTTACATCCCCGTCCTGTCCGGCCATTTTTCAGTATTCAGCCCTGCGTTACTTTGACATTTATTCCGTCATGCAACACTGTGCTGAAATCAATTTTGTACCATATTTTAGGACACAAAGCTTTTTTTTTGGTAGTGTATATATATCCCATTGGGGTTTTTATTTTTTACTGTATTAAGGAAAAATTACCGAAAAATGTTTGGGAAAAAAAGGGTTTTTTAAAAAAGATTTCACATTGTTATAATACATTTATTACTTTACTATTTTTTGGTAAAATATAAAATACTGGTCACATCGGGTAAATAATAAGTACTATCCTTGTCACACTCCTTCCCGATATGTCCCTTGTAGTGGGGGGTGCTCGCAGTGACTGCGGATGGCGCGGCCAATGTCGGCAAATTTGTAGAAATGTCACTAGCACACCAGTCCTTTTAGGATAAAAAAGCTTCATTTCTTTTTTGTCATATGACCAACAAGCGCTTTTCGGGACCGCACAGGGTCCTTCATCAGGCTTTAGCATTGACGGTAAATAGACATCAAACATGTCAAGCTTTAAAATGATGCGCACCCGCGAAATCACAAAAAAACTACAATACCCAAAATTGGCCATAGGTGATGCTTAAAAAACGTTTACCGCTCATCAGTTTAGTGTTATCAGTGAATAATGGCCCTACAATTATTGCTCTCACTCTGACATTCACAGTGATATGTAACATGTGCGACGTAATGGGCGCAAACATGTTTTTTAAATTCTTTTCTATGTGTGACTTTAAATTTTTTTTTGCAACTTTAATTTTGTTCTTATTGTTATCACATAGTGGGCTAAGAAGTCCCGTATGTGATAGCAAAGAGAATGTGACAGGTCCTCTTTATGGAGACATCAGGGGTCTTCAAGACCCCTAATGTCACCTAGGGACCCCCAAAGGAGCTGATGAAGCAGAGATTTGCTTTTCTACAGCTTCTGAAGCCAGAGAGTGACAGCAGAATGTGGAAGTGATGTAATTTATTTATTACAGGTATTTATATAGTGCCGACAATTTACACAGCACTTTACATAGTTGCACATTTACATCAGTCCCTGCCCTCAAGGAGCTTACAATCTAAGGTTCCTATCTCACATAGAGGGGCAGCTTAGAGAGGAGCCAATTAACCTACCAGCATGTCTTTGGAGTGTGGGAGGAAACCGGAGTACCCAGAGGAAACTCACGCAAGCACAGGGAGAACATGCAAACTCCTTATACATGACTGCATTCTAACACCGGAGAGGGGATCGGAGGGAGATTGTGTGCTGATCTCCCTCTTATCCCCTGTCACAGAGCCACCCTGCTGGTCCCGGGCAGCACCTCATACAAGCGATCCAGTGGCTCTATAACCACCAGATCGCTTGTATGTAAACAGGCATCGTTGCCTGTTTACAAATGTTGACAGTGGGCGGGGCTAACAGGCTTTCTTTTGATTGCCACCCACATCCAAGAAGCTCCCGGCCGCTTAACCACAACGGCCAGCCGGGAGGCGGTTAAAGCTGCACTCCAGGCAAACGGCTAAATGAGCAGATAAAATACATATATGGGAGTTGTGCTACCTGCCAAAGCATTTGTATTCCTGTTCTGAGATTTATAAAGCTTTGGCACTCCACACAACCCTGTCTGGCAGAGGAGGCGATCTGATTTTCTCTTCTGCAGTTAAGTAACAATTCCAGGTCTACTCCCTACCAGCTGATGACCAATGAGCTCATTCCCATAACACTTTGCTTACTCCTCCTAGGGCATGCTCCTTGTGAGCACCGCAGCACAACTGATTGTCTTCTTGCTGCTTATGCCACTTCCATTTTGAGCTCTGCAGTACCGAGATTGCAGGAGGCTGATGCCAAGTATAATTCTGGTGCTTGCACTGTGTGTGTATTCTGGACCAGCTGCAGTGGCTATGAATGTCATTTCAGTGACAAAATGAGGGTGTCTGCCCTGAAGTGATATTCATCCCAAGCACCTTTCCATATAGTTTTACTCGACCACAGATTACATATTTGAAGACCAGGCAAAGTTCATTCATCACAGGGTCTGTTAGCTGTAATGTTGAGGTAGGTAAGAAGCATTGGCTTTCCAAAAGTATAAAGGAGATGTGTGTGGTAGTAGAGAAGAAAATACACAAAATGGCTGGTAGAGACAAAGAGGTAGGCATAGCTAAACGGTAAACAAACTACAGGGGGAGGCAGGGTCAAACTTTATACAGATCAAAGCTAACATTATATAATATTATGGGACAGGACACTTTGGGTATTATATGAAAAAATAAATTTAGGTAAGTAACAATGAATACAGAGATGTATTCGTGTGTCTCTTATATCTGCCTGGATTTCAATAATAGGTAATCAGCAGGAATTGATGTAATTATTTCAATAGCAGATCTGGGCTTAGTTTAACAATTTGTAAATTACCCAACAACCTCAATAAAAGAAGCTTTACAAGATATTTTATGTCTTTGACATTGGCCATTTCCTTTACAGCAGGAGGGAAACACCTGCTTTACAGTGTTCATTCTGACACCTTTTAAAGATTAACAATGTCTATAAAAGAGTGTATAGACGTGCAAATGTTACTTGACACCTTTTTTCCTTCATGTGTTATGTCTCAAAATACCTTGCTGCTGATGGTGACATGTATGTCTCCTTTTACTCTGCAGCTAAGTATATGTTTTCTACTTCTGCCCATTTATAAGCCTGTATTTTGCATCTTCTTTTCTCTGTAGGTTCAACTAAACTACTTTGGAAATTATGTTCCTGATATGTGGACACCTACAGATGGATGTCAAAATTGTGATTTAGATGCCATTGATTTATCAGCGATTGATGTGAGTATGATATGTTCTAGGATTCCCTTTAAAGTTGGCATGCAAGAAGTAATCAAACAACAGAGTATGTTTGTTAGCATCTAATGTTTCAGTGTACAAAATCTAAATCTCTACATCAAAATCAATGAAAAGAAAACTAGTTTTCTATTATTTAATGTACTTTGCATAGCGTGATTTTGTTTTTATAGAGCCAGACTAAAAAAGAGAAAACTATTCTAATTTTGAAATATGATTTTTAACTGTTTAAATAGCATGTGAAAATCATGTGAAAAGTATGCCATTTGAATAGTGAAAGTAGACATATCCGTGACTTTACAAGCCTGCATAAATTATTTCTTGACGCGTCACAACAATATATTTTTTTATGAAGACTGTCCAGAAATAGATGCTGAACCTTCATGATGCCTTAACAAAGATGGTGTCAATCATCTAGGGGAAAAAAAGAGGCTTACAGTATGTGCAGACATAGTTTTCCTGCAAAGTACCCTGCTAACCATAGGGGGAAAAGTTACCATAACACTTCTGAATCTTCCATAATTAGACAAATCACACCTGGATTTCCAGATATAGAAGCTTCTTTTTTTTAGCTAACTCATAAAACAGCATAACATGCAATGACATGACACATTTCACTGATTCAACTTAAAAGGTTAACTCACCTTTACATCACCTTTCCAATAGAAAAGTACCTGCACATTCCAAATTCTGTAGTATATTCAAAAGCATTTCCTGTGCTGATAGGGCGTGCATCCAACTGCCCACCTGTCTTGCCATTTAGGCAGGATGGGAAGAGTCACCCACTCTCGAAGTTTTACAAACAGACTGGGGAGAGGCTAAACACAGCCTAAAGATATATTGTATATTGGAAAGGCATATTTTTTTTTACCCAAGGACAGCTTTTTAATATACTTTAGTACAGAAGCTGGAATGCTTAAGTACTTTTTTTGGCAAAGGAGATGTAAAGGTAAACTAACCCTTTAATAATTTTTTGGAAGAATTATGATAAGGAAGTAAAAACTTAGAACCTTGCACCAATTCCAACGTGGAGGTGAGCCAGTCCCTATAGCACTATTCCGATTCCTCATGGCTGGTGAGTATTCCATGGTTGGTGAGTAGCCTTGTCTCCATGCAAAGCATGAGGCTTTTCCCTGCTTTGCACTTAATATATCCTTGTTACTCCTTATCCTCAGTACTATCCTGATGGCCACATTGTCCTTAAGTGTGCCGGAGTAGCAGCACTGCAAAGTCTCAACTCTTGGAAACTTTGTACTGTGATCCTTTAAGCTATAACAACACCACTAGTATGTGATTGTGTCTGAATGTCCAGCTGCTAATGGTGAAATCTGAAATTGTGACTGTTGACGAAATAGGCAGAATGCAGGGAGATAGGATCTCTCCCACAATGTAACACATAGGGGTATTAGCAGAACTGTAGCCTAACAGACAAAAAAAATCGAGGATTTGACAGTCATTTGCATCTTGCTATGGCTATCATATGATGGGCTTCCGTACCCATATGAAAGATGTAATTCTCAACAGAGCTGTAATTTATTTAGAAACAGAGTGAAGTTGACTGTATTACATAACCTGTGAGGTAATAGCACTGGGCACCATTTATTGAGAGCCATTTTCTGCATTTATATGTTTTGAGAGAAAATAGATGCCATCCAGTTTTTTTACAAACCCGCCCTTTATGAAAACATAAAACTCCAGTTAAAAATCCAGAATGTTATTTTCTGAATGAGCAGTGAATGAAGAGTCAGCAGGGTAACTTTGTGGCTGTAATTTGTCATTAACAGTATTATGTCTAAAACAAACATGGCTTGACAATTCGGAATGTGGAAAAGTATAATGTGCTGGAAAAAACCTTCACAGATGTTCCGCTTTCATCCTTAGTCATGTTGTTTTTTTGGGGAAAATACAGTCTTGAGTAGCACCTTATTTTAAATTGTGTTGTAACTCAACGTCCTCGGTTTTGGGCTTCCTGCCACTAAGTGCTGCAGACAGTACTTGCGTGTCGGATTTTACTGCTTTTAAAATAGGGGAACTATAGAAACTCGGATTAGAACAGAACAGGAGCAGTCCTGGAGGAAAAACAATGGGATAGAGTACAGCAGAATTCCCATCTGGCAAAAGCTTGAATGCTTTGGAATGTGAAAGATAAGCAGGCTTATGTTTACATATTGATTATATGTGTCAAAAATGAAGAGCATTTCCAGATTGGTAAACACAAGGAAAACAACTGTTTCCGAATCTGTGATTTGCTTTGGATGGCTGACGGGTAGCAACCAGTCAATTACAACATGGGCTTGGAACAAACATTGCAAAACATGAGGAAAAACTTGGAGAGTTTAAAGCAGTTTGCTATAAAAATAAAGCTCTGAATTATTACTAAGGGCAAATAGGGAGATCAAAGGAATTAACAGCACAGAAAAAAAAGTGTGTGTACATATATTAAATAAGTAACTTTAAATGTGAACTCCCAGGAACATTTAGAAAAAAAATACTGCTCTGTGTTCATTCTCTATACTTTATCTGTATGGTCTCTGTACAGCAGAGCTCAGATATGGGGAGGAAGAAGCAGCACACAGAATCAGTCAGCATGCTAATAGGAGCAGAGAGCAGAGTGACAGTGAGATAAACGCATCCGTTTGCTGATTCCCTTTCACTGTATAGCCACAGGCTGAGGATGGAGTGAAGAACTGTAAGTGAAAGTAAAATGGTAGCAGAGAAAAATCAGGTCCCCTTCCCTGCCGGGCTGTGCTGTGCTGTGTGGCAAAGTTGTGTAAATCTCATGACTGTGTGGACAGAAATACAAATCCGTTGACAGGTAAAACAACTCCAGTGTATGTATTTATCTGTACATTTAGCTGTTTGCCTGAAGTTCAGCTTTAAGTAAAGGGGATGAATCATTTTATTAAATAAACTTTTCTTGTCTGACATCTGGTAAGCTTAAGAGAAGTTGAAAGCTGATGGAGGTGCCTGCATGCAATTGTTGTTCTCTTAAGTGCTCTGGGAATGCGTGAAGTGAGTGTTTCCAAGTCCATAGTTGGAGTTCTAGCATATATCTCCCTCTACACCCCCTTAGTGCAATGTACTAAGTCTTTCTGGCCTGTAGTGAATCAAGGGGGATCGCAATTTTAATGAATGGACCCTATTAATGTATATATCTCAGATACTATTTCCATCATTAGAAATAAAGTAGAAGAAGTAATAGTTTTAAGGAAAGTATGTTTTTATAGAAGATACTATAACTCTATGGCTACCATAAATGTATAGCTCAAGTTAAAGTAGTATTAAAGTCAATTTTGGGGGCAGTAGTAAGCAGATATATGCCCCAACATGCCAAATAACAACTAACTTACCTGTGTCAATACTGCTCGCTCCCGGCTGCAGAAGTCCAGGCCCCGAATGCTGTGAAGGAGGAAGTGTGGGTGGGCGCATGCACAGTCCAGATCACTGGAGGGGAGAGGAGGATAGCAACAATGAAGCTGAATGGATGCAGCTGGGAAGCCAGGTGGGCGCATCTTGGACAGACACCATGGGACACAAGAAATCTGCGCTGGATCAGAGACCGGCACCAGCGCTGGAGGGACTTTAGAAAATGAGTGGAAGGAAGAAGCTGTTTGGATCAAAAGCTATCACATAAGGTAAGTCCTTACAGCAGCATGGAGGTGGGGGGGGGGGCTGCCTTTAATGTCACTTTAACCTCTTGCCGTCCGCCCGTAGTAAAAAAACGGACGGACGGCACTGCAGCATCTGCGGGTTGAAGATTCAGGTAGGGGTGATACCTGACAAAATGGACAGATGGTAGATAAATGTGGTCATTATTTTTGTTATAATTTAATTGACAACATCTACATTAGTAACTGTTTCTTAGCCCAGCATAGAATACCTTTCCAGGCTGAGACTTCCTAAATATTTGGAAACAGACAACAATTTGCAGAGCTTGTAACTATTTCCATTTTACTTTCCAATAAACGGAAAGGTACAGAATGTGAATGTACTGCTGCAAATTCTGCTCTTTTTATACAGAGAGCTGACAAAAGGTGAGCAGATCACTGAACTGAATGCTGCACCACATATACTCAAACTCTCTAATACTTTAAATGCCAAAGCTGCCACACTGACAATCTTAGCATAGACCTTGCCTTCCCTGTGTTTTTGATATTGGTTCCCACCATTCATTATTTACGCAGAGATTAACCTTGCCCCGGTCCTGCTGCTCAATCAAATTTAGGATACATTTATTAAAAAGACTGTATGGTATTGTTTTAAAGGTCTCTGTGACCCACGAATGATTATGTAGTTCAGCCCTAAGACTTTATATACACAGAGGATTCATCTGCTGGATATTTTAAACATGGTATATTTTTCCAGTGGAAACATAATCTCTTTAAATCAAACTATTCTGGCAGAATGACTTTCACCTAAACAGTTCACTGAAGCCTTTATAAACTGAAAGTGTAAGAATTACCATCTGGAGAGCTTGTGTCTGACAAACAGATATAGCAATTCTGCTCTCAAGCATTCATTTGTTCACAGCCCATACTAGCAATAGCAATTGCTACACCCTAAGAAGGGTGAGAAAGCATCTCTGATTAACTAGCTATAATCTTCTTTAAGGTGTATTTAGCGATGATTTAAAGTGAAAGTTAGATAAATCACAATGCTTCCCACCCCCATAAACCCCCCAGACCCTTCTTTTCTTGAATAACATACTGTAAGAATCGTATGCTTTTTAAGAACTTATCAAGCTGCAGCCTTAGCATGCTTTTTTTTGTATTCTAGCATAGTTGAGGCTTTTGCAAAGCCCATCCAATTGAAGTGATGGTGATGGCGCTCTTACTCAAAAACTTTGCCTGCACATAGCTCATCTATTGGGAATAATAATGCCCATACTTAACACATGTCTGTACACTACACATCCACTATAAATCATGGTGTAGTACTCTGAAAGGCATATCTGAACACTGCCTGTCCATTGAATATAATGGTGCCATACTCTGAAATGCATTTATACATACTGCCTGTCCATTTAAAATAATGGTGCCATACCCTGAAAGGCATGCCTGCACGCTGCCTGTCCATTGAATGCAATGGTTCCATACTCTGAAAGGAAGATCTGATACTACCTGTCCTTTGAGTATAATGGTGACATACTCTGAAAGGCATGACTGCTCACTGCCCACCAAATAAATATAATGGTGCTGCACTCTAGTAGGCATGTCTGCACACTGCCTTCTCTTTAGACTAGCACTGTGTAGCCACACTTTTCAGAGTATAAGATTAGTATATGGATAGCAACAATCTGACATGGCAGATGCTCTCCTACTGTCATCATCAAATGCCTATGGTCTCTATTTAGGAGCTACAGAAGGCAGTATTATGATAAAATTGTGTAGCCACCTTTCTGTAACTGGGGTGACTCCATAAATTTAGCTCTGCTGGGCTGTAAACAGCCTGAGGCAAATAGATAGTGCTTTGCTCATATGGTCTCCCCTTAAGCCAAGTGCTTTGCTCATATGGTCTCCCCTTAAGCCAAATGTTATTGTTTGCATCTGCCAGGTGGGACCCTGGCAATAGAGTAAGAAGATCCAATAATGCTGGGTTACCAACATTTGTGTCTCCTTGGCCAACCACTGGGAGGTTTATTGCCAGTGGTGCATGCTGGTGAGGGGCTTAAGTATTCGGGGCTGACCTTGTGAATGTCTTTTTCCTGGGTTCCTGCCTGGGGGAGGATGCGTTTCTGACTGAAGTTCTGTTAGTCCTGCTGTCTAGAAGAGGCATGCATGTGGCTAGAAATGGAGGCTTGGATTTGGACCTGAAGCTGTCCGGACTGGTAGAGGGTGAAGCTATTCCAAGATGGAGTGTCAGGACAAGTGACTGTTGGAAGGTCAGTCTGGGTAGAACATGGATCCTTGCTGGGGCCTGATGACTCTCTTGTTATAGAATGTGTGTGTGTGTTTTTAATGTTACCCCTTTGCCCCTCAAAGTTATCAGAGGATAACCTTATTCATTTATTATTACCAATGGCTGGCAATCCACAGAACTATTAAAATTGCACACAGCCTTTCGCCATGTTGCAAAATAGCTTAGGCCCAACATTTTGTTCAGATGATCTAGACAAGAACTATACATTGATGTTCACATCTGCTTTGACTGTAGTGTTAATGATAGCTTGAATGGTGTGTGATACAAATATATCTAGCAAATAAACAAACATAAGACTTCTCCATTTCTTTAGAGGTTGAAAAGTAATTTTTTTGGGAAGAGCATGACATAGATTTATTTTTTGTGATTTAGAACTCCTCTTTAAATGACTGATTTTATGCTTTTAGGACTATCCAGATGTAACAGTTGGAGTCTTTATTGAACAGCCAACTCCTTTCCTGCCAGAGTTCTTCAGCAGACTGTTGGCACTTGACTATCCCAAAGAAAAGCTATCGGTCTTTATTCATAACAGTGTAAGTATTCTAAGATGTACAATATCTGTTTTTCCATGATAGCATGTTCATTAGCTGCATTTCTAGCTCATTTACAAGCTTTGAGACTTGAGAAATTGACATTGTTACACATGGGCCGTTATAGGTTTGAATGCCAATAAACTTTATGGCACTTTGGAAATATGCATGTTGACTTGCATCCCTCATTAGACAGATTTATTCTGATTACTTGTTGCACTGAATTGACATTGTAACTGACAGTTGTACTGCTATTTCAAGGTCCCCATTTCTACAATATAGAATGCTGGATTTTTATGGCTCGTAATGGATCTCTAAATTTCATAGGCTATAAGAGAAGAAGCTTGTTGCCTATTTATTATAAACAGTTTATAAGGGTGCTAGCTATGTTAAAAGTTAATAAATATCTGTTTTTGTTTTTTTCTTATCCAATATGTGCTTATCCAAACTCCATATATTTCACTGTGAAGATATATTTGTGAAACCCCCAAAAAACACACAGAAAAACACAGAAAAGGGGAGGAGAGGGAAAGAGAGAAAAGATAAATTGTGTAATATTCCTAGGGCATTTAATTTTTTAATAGGTTCAGCATTGGATCAATAATAACTTGTCATATGACCGAACCAACTACCCATTATATCATATACAGTATACACCTTATCTATTTTTGCATTTAACTAGTTCCTCAAAAAGAAAAAAGGAGAAAAAAACCCTTAAAAAAACAACCTAAAGAGGCTGTATGAGGCAAATTACTGAGCCGCTTAAACTGGCTTGGTATATAAAAACTCATAACCAGGACTATACAGGATGCCATGTCTTTTAACCCCTTCATGACTGAGGCCCTTTTTTCCATTTTTGCACCCATGTTATATTCCACATTTTAGGCCTGAAAATGACGTAAAACCCCCCAACATTATATATTTTCTGAATGCCAAGACCCTATAGAATAAAATGGTGGTAGTTGAAAATTTTTATGTTGCGCAATATTAGCGCAACTCCTTATTAAACCCCAAAATTTAGTGACAAATTTAATTAAATGCCCCAAAACACAACAAGTCACGAAGGGGTTAAGAACTTCCTACTTCATCTCCTTAGGAGCAGTCCAATAGAATCACCTTCTTCTTTTCTTCCCTCCTTAGCTCTCTCTTTCTCGATTTACGCTCACTCTTTCAAAACTGCAGCCCACTAATTATGGATATGCTGCCGATTCTTTGTTTTGAATGGACTGCACTGTGCAATGCTAAGAAAAAAAATCAAAAATACTGTACAGCACAGAGAGGGCCCTTGTTAACAACATTGTAAAAACACAAATCTTGTAAATTACATGCTTGGGAGATGCCTTTAAGCTAAATGTTTTGTTACAGAACAGTATGAATTTCACAGTTTTAACAGTTTCAGGGGTGTTTCAGGGGTGGTAATTTAAAATTAGCTTGGCTTACATACAACAGCAGTATATCAATCTGATTAATTTAAGTTAAAAAAAAAAGGCTTTTTTTTAAGTAGCTTTAACAGAGGCACAGGATTCTTTATCAAAAGGTGATAGACTCGATTTTACCGACCGATAGAAACTATCCAGTAGAATGTTGTCCCTGTTATTGCTGATACAAAACTGTCCTGCCACTGGCCAATTTCTGTGAAGCTCTCATTGAGAAATAAGACACCACAGATGATGCAGCAGTGTAAAATGGCCAGCAGCAGGATATTTCTAATGAGGGAAATTAAAACCAAAATGTACTAGAGACAAAGTGTACATGCAGGTGTTTTACTACAAGAATTATGATACTGCAGGGGATACAGTAGTATAAAATTGTCCAGCAGCAGAATAATTTTTATTAGGGATAGTAAGCCTAACTGGTGTATTATTTAATATGGGGATGGGAGGATGGGAGGTGGTTTAGGTGATTACTGTCCTTTTTTTTATTTTATTTTTTGAATGATGCAGCAGAATGCTTTGAACAAAATACAGCTCCAAGAATAGATGATCAGTAACAAGTGAATGCTCCACTTTGAACTACCCAAACTTAAAAAAAGGCCCTATCAACATAAACCCACAAAGGCAATGAAAACCCCAAATTACCACCCCTGAAACAAAAGCCTTCTATTTTTAGGGAAGTTTTGCTGCAAAAAAAAAGAAGCCAAAAAACAGTTTAACCAAAAATAAGGGCCATATCAACATAAAAAAAAATGTACCCCTTAAATAAATAGCTGAAGTGAATGATCATCACTACACCTGTCTATTGCACATGTCAGCACTGTTAAACTATGAGTCATATAAGCTATGGGTTTCAAGTGTACAAACATGGACTTATTCTGTTTGTTATCCTGTTACAGCAGTGCATAGGAAGCCATTGTTCTCAAATTATTTCCACTGGTATGATCCTGGGTATGGATGGTAGGAGCACTGTATCCTAAATAGTGCCTTTGCTTATGTATGGCAACAGTTGGATGGCCTAATTATGGCTTAGTAAGGAAGTGCTAAGGGTAATGAAAATATGCAAGGCAGCCTACATTAAAAAATCAGAGATGTATTTTTTCTGATTGGGTCCTCGTTCTCAATGGATGGTAAAACCACACAGTTAATGTGCAGTTTTACCACTCCCCCCAACCTGCCCCAAGCTTCACAGTGCTGTATACAATACTGCAGCCATGATGTTTTGTGTCGCAGGGCACCGCATGTCCGGTTTTGACTTGATAAACAAGACATTTTAAATGAATGAACTGCTTGTGTACATGGTTGCAGCATGGTATTCCAATAGAAAATCCCATTGGGATTTTAAAAAATCCTGCATTTTGAAGGCAGCAGTATCATCTCCAGAAAACCAGGCAGCCGCTGCTCCCCCGCCTTTTGAAAGCGATCCCCCGCGGATCGCTTTTAAGATGACAGCGGAGACTGTAGCCCATCTAAATGAGGCCTTAATCTGAAGTTACAGTAGTGTACTTCATTGTTGTATGTGTGCCATATAGATGCCGTTCTCTAGATTTTCTTGCAGCAGAATTTATTTTTTAGATTTTACCGTAAGGTTATTGCAGGTCTTATTTTGACATATAGATAGGTTTTCTATTAATATCTGCTGTTTTATTACTAGAATTTGATTACATAATAGTAGTACAGTTGACTGACCTACCATTAGCAAGAGATAATTACCATAGAAAATGCTTTCAATGGTAATTTTCAAATCCCTCATGCAATTTAATCACTTAAAAATCTAACAGTAATCACTAAAAACCACAGTGTCACTGTCCCAGGATTTACTCAAAGAAACCACTCACATTATGATTTGTATGAATCAGTGCTCCTTCCAATCAAGAAAATGCCTAATATAATGATGTAAGAGTTTTTTAGCATGTCCCCAGGGCTCTTCTATAATTTTCCCCAACGGTTCACTATAAAGAATTGTTTGTATAAAATAGCCACACCATCATCTAATTGTCTAATCCCAATTGCCATCTTTTCAGTAAAAGAAAGGACTGTGTATGAGGTTCTGATCTTCTAATTGCCATCCACTCCCAAAGAGATATTAATTTGTACACCTGTGCTTACCTGTGTTTTTCAACATTTCATTATTATCCATGTCTATACCATGGGAAAAAACACGATGTTCCCATGTGCTGTAGATCCATTTGTAACTTGATATCCACATTTGTTATGACATATTTATATTTGTTCCTCAATTTATCTAGACATGATTTCTGGAGATAGTTACAAAAGCAACAAACCTGTCTAAAATAACTAGTTCACTAAGTTCACTTTACCATAAAACTGGCCACATATGCTAGAATGTGAGAAAACACAAATACCCAGGTTGAAAAAAGACACGTGTTCATCGAGTTCAACCAAAAAACACAGCAGTTAATAATAAGAATCCAAACAACATGTCAAAAAAGAGCCCTGTAAAGATCTTACACGGAAACTAATATTATATATGTAGCTAGAGTAAAATCTAGAGAACATGAACACTTGGCAATGATTTCCCACCTTCGACTGACAGTTTTGTGAACTTACAGGATTATTCACAAAAGGGTGAATAGTTTGGAGAAGGTAGGAGTAGTGAACAATCTAGGCCAAAATAGCCGATTTGGGAAAATTCTCCAATTCAGCTCACTTTCCAGTTCAGCTATGTTGTCCTAGATTGTTCCCTTCTCCTGCCTTCTCCAAACTCTTCACCCTCCTGTGAATAACCCTGCTAATGTTCTTGGTTTGGCTGATTCACTTATGTGTGCTACTTACTGTGCACAGTAAGCAAATGAGCTAAGATTACCATATCACTATGCCAGTCAACGTTTAAAAAAAAAAAAAAAAATATAGGCAAAACAAATTACAAGTTGTGATCTTCCATTGCCTGTGCAGCCACAATTGATTAAGAATCTAGAGATGATTTTAAAATATATATATATATATAGTTTTGATTAGGTCTGCATTCACACCTAGGCGTCTGCATTTTTTTGCGCTTTGTGCACGATTTCATGGTGTTTTGCGCATTTTTGCACATTTTTACACACGTCAGATGCGTGCACATGAAGAAGCTCATCTTAGCTAGCAGATTGAAAGACATTGTGGTCAATAGACAAACGCGTATTAAGACTTGAAAAAATGCACACAGAAATGTGCAAAACACTTGTTGCATGTTTCTAGGCATTTCCATTGAAGTCTATGGGCCAAACATGATGTAAACTGCCTGAAAGAAGCTCTTTTTCCAGCGACAGGCATTTTACAGCTTGCAACAAAACGCTCAGGTGTGAACAGGGGTCATTGAAATGAAAGGGATTTCTTGTGTTGATACTTTTGTCTGTCTCACGACAAAACGCCTAGGTGTGAAAGGGGACTAAGCAATTAATCTTTCTGATTCTGCTTTCTAAATCCTCTGTCGGATTCAAGCCTCCTCATAACACAACAAATCTCCATTGTTACCTCTGTCCAGGAAGAAGTAAAGCAAAATCAAGAAATAACATCATGACTTGCAGAGGTCTGTGTGTGTCACAATTTTGGCCCTCCGCAGTTACAAATTTGGCAGATAAATTAATAAGCCTATATGTATTTCAACTATTCAGCTTGTATGCCTGAAGTTTCACTTTCATTTTTTGCCATTTCTATATTGTAGGGCTTAAAACTTGCTTATGGCTTTCTGCTTATGTTTGCATTAGTATGTGTTTTATCTGTCTCCTCTGTTATCCAATATTTCCAGCGATGCATTTTTTGTGTTCTAAAAATATCACTCAGGCATGTTCTTTCATTACAGGAGGTTCACCATGAAAAACATATCCAGAAGTTTTGGGAAAAAGCCAAGGGGGTCATTAAGACTCTCAAGGTGGTCGGACCTGAAGAAAAGATCACGCAGGGAGAAGCAAGGAACATGGGAATGTAATACCTCCTTTAGATACATTCTAATCAATAACTGCCTCTGTTGTGTGTGAGAGTTAATTAGTTTTTTCTTTTAGTGGACATGAAATTGTTGTTGCAGTTTAGGTTGTTTTATATTTAACTGAAACCAATGTAACAGTGCTACGTGGACAGTAGTGAGCTCAATCATTTAAAGGAGAACTATGAGGTGAGTGATTTTCACTCCCCTCATAGTTCTAGCCGACATGTGACAATGAGACTGTCACAGGTCGGCTCAGTAGATCGGGAGGTGAGCGAACATATACCGGCGTTCGCTCACCTCTCGATCCTGTCACGTCTCTCTGCAGTGACAGGGGAGGGGCTGGATTCCCCCCTCCCACTCCGATCCGCCAGCGCTGACTGGCGGAACGGACGGGGGAGGGGGCGGGTACAGCTGGCTCTGCCTCTAGATAGGCAGACTGTCAGTCACGCAGCTGGGCGGATCCCGGCACAATTGTCGGGATCCGCTTCAGCTGCGGCGTCTCAGTATACCGCGAGCAGCTGCTCGCGGTATACTGCGGCGCCTCGGTATACAGCGAGCTACAGCGAGCCTAGGGTGACGGGAGGACGCTAGTTTGTGTTCTCCCATTACCCTAAGGATAACTATGGGGAAAAGACAACCCCATAGTTCTCCTTTAACAGACTTCACACTGTCATAGTTCACCAATATATTGGCTTGGTATTATACATATAATCAACATTGGCTCTCCTGAGTTAATTTACCAAGTCCATTGCTACAGGATTATTCTTTTAACCAGGTACTGTAATTAAAGCCTAGTTCTACCTAAAACTGTTTTTAGTTCTTAGTGAGTAAGTGCCATTTTTTTTTCTGTCAAGTTGAGGTTGATTTATTAAAGGCAAATAGGGTGTCCACTTGGCAAGGGGATTTGTACTTTGCAGTGGATGTTTCCCCTTAGTTTAGAGCATGAGGTGAAGATCTGCTGACTTCCATTACCCAATCACGTGCAAGCAAAAATAATGTTGTTTTTTTTTAAAGTTGCCTTGCACATGATTGGATATTCTTTGCAAAGTGACATTTCATGGCAAGTAACAAGCTAAGGGACACTTCCTCTGCAGAGTGGGAATTCCCTTGCCAAGTGAACAATCTATTTGCCTTTAGTAGATCAATCCCTTATAATTCACTTCTCTACAGCAATAATTTGGAGTTGTGCTTAGACATTTACAAGTGATGTAAACTGACATTTCTCATCCCTTTTATATCCTTTATGTAATTATATTCTTCTTAAATATCCATAGCAGTACCTGGCCTTACCTCAGTTTTGCTTCTTTCTGCTTTACAAAACTGTTATTGCAGGCTGCAATTTTACAGCACCATTTAATTAGTCAACAATCCCACATAACTCTCTGTTTTGGCAAATCCATAAAAAATATGTTTCCAAATGTAGGATGAAAAGAGACATTCCTGACATGTAATGGCAAAAAAGAATTAGAGATTGTTTACCACCAATTGCTGCTGTTATGCAGTAGAGTTGAAGATTACTAAGCCCCAGTATAACAGTAACTAAAGCAATGTAACACTAGAGCTATTCTAATTGATAAAAGGAACCTATTTGGTCAGACCCAAAATAAATAAATGTTTTATACATATTTTTATTTTCCCCATGTAAATATAATATATTGTATTATTGTAATTTTAAACCCGCAGGTAGAGCTTTAGACTCATGTTTAGATTTTAAAGGTTCTACCTTTTTTTCTTTGATGTAAGTGCTGTTTTTTAAGGAATTTAGAAGCTCAGAAACCTCAAGTTGAAATTTTAAAAAAATCATAGCCCATGTTAAATTCAAATGTGGATCAACAAACATGGGTGACAAACCAAACAAATATCCATAAAGTGTCCATTTTTTTTTATTGTTTTCAATTCAATCCACTTGATAAATCAGCCAACATGTTTCTAGGGCAAACACACACGCACTTCTTCATGACTTAAAAATAAGATTTTTATAAGCAGGACAATTTTAATGAGAAATGCTAGACCCAAATTTTATAGTTACAAAGCACATACTGGAATATCAATATTTTACAACTTATTCTGAGATCTTTTTGTAACGATTGATGGATCTGGAAACTCTGCCTTGATTATCCCCAACATAATCCCTGTGACATATAATAAGCTAGTTTCATGAATCAGTTTTCCAGCATATACTCTGATTTCTCTATAACAGGATTTCTTTTGCTAATGTTAAATTCCCTCTCGGAAATAAAAAAGCATAAAACAATTCTAGCATTCTTTAATGTGGCGTTTTGCTATTTTTTCCATTGAAAGCAGAGAAACCAGAATCCAGCATTTTATATGTTGTCTATTTTTACTTTAACTCAATGTTCTTGTTTTGCTCAGGGACATTTGCCGGCAGGATGAGCAATGTGACTACTACTTTAACATTGATGCTGATGTAGTGGTGACAAACCCAAAGACTTTAAAAATACTAATTGAACAAAACAGGTTGGTAATTGAATGCAATATGTACATTGTAAAAGGTAATGAAATCTTAATTGCCGAGTTTCTAAGAAAGCTGTACTTGTCATTATTTTACTGTGAAGTATTTCAAAGATCTTTCAACAGCTGCCTAATGAACATTCTTTTAATGCACAATAAATAAACTTTCTGATCGTGCAACATAATCCAGGAAAAGAAAATCTTGCCTAACTTGCGTCCAGCCTGAAAGAATGTTTTATCTTCCCAAGTTTAAGGATATGACAAAGTGTGACAAATTATAATACATTTGTTTTTTAATGCAAGTGTTGTATCTTTGCAAGCCTTATAACTTTAATATACAACGTAAGTGATGATAATCATTACACACATTTAAAATGTAGTAAAACATTATATTAATGCAGTTAGTGGTGTTGTAAGTCCTGCTCATCCTTTGGAAGAATGTACCTTCAGAAAACCCCTGAGAGATCCTATCAACCCAACTAAGGTCATATGTTATATGCAAATACTAATGCATTTTGTGGCATTAAATTGGGCCCTTGTGCCCCACAGTGCTTTAAGGATGCTAAGCAAACCAGCAAGTGGCTCTTGAATAACAGAGTGGGATGCATGCAGAAGGTACTTAAGGGTAATATCGATTCTTTATGGTGTTTGAAATTGCATTATACTGTAATGCTACTTTATAAAGGCTAGCCTAATGACAAATTTAATTAAAAGAATTAGTGCACTTTTAGACAAACTGCAAGTGCTATTTTTGCCCCCACCCCTTAATAATCCCACTCTATCAAAATACCTGAAAAATGCCTGCAGCCAATCAGTATTTTTCGGGTATTTTGACAGCCAGTGGGGCCAATTAGCAAGATACTTCAGCTTGGCCCAGTGGGAGATTCCCCCATCCACACAGTTTAGCATAGATGGAGGAATCTGTTGCACTTTTTCCATCTGACCATAGAATATCTGCAGAAAATCTATAGGTGTATGGCCAGCTTTAGTAAGGATCTGCAGAGAGGGATGGTGGGATCGTTTAGGTTAGGGGTGGCAGTCAAAAAGGATAAGTGCACTTTGTTTTAAAGTGCACCTATATTTATCCTTTACATTTCTATCAACAAAAATGCAAAAACTATCAGCCACCATGAAAGAGATTGATGTACATGTTATATACAACATTTGGTTCCATGAGATACATGAAAAACACACCTAGTAGAGAATGTGGTTTTTTTTGCATCATCAGCTAAGATGGCCATACCCAGCACAATACTCTCTGGTGCAAGATGCCGGGATAAGTACTGCTTTCCCTAAAACTAATGAAGATTACACTATTTTTCTTTATGTCTGAGTGTGAGGATGTCCAAATCCTTGAAAAAGATGTGCTTTTTAATTTCTTATATAACCTTCTTTTCTTATTTCAAATGAACTTGCATGCATAGGTAATTGTAACTTTCTTGTATACATTTCTAATCCTGTTAAACTTTGGGGTATATATTGTATGTCACAAAGCTGGACAATTCATACTGATCGTGTTCTGAAAACATGCATACACAGAAGTCACCTTTAATGAAAACTGCATGTAAAAATTATGAGTAGTTCCAAAACTAAAGGCACTAAGGATATATGCACATTTCCCTTAAAAACTGGAATACTGAGAATACTGACTTTTTTCTAAATAAATCTATAAGGGATGCACCAAAACCATTTTTTTAAGTACAAGTACTGATACTTGTACAAAGTACTCACAGATACAAGTACTGATGCATTTTTGTTTATTGTCATGTGACAGTTTTTCTAAAACAATACAGACTAATGATTTCAGAACAGTGCACCAGAGCCCAGTCCCAGCTGCAACCCTGGTAGTAGAAAATGACAAGTTGCGGCACTGGTATCTGAACATCCCTAGTAGATTGATTAGAATAGTACCACTTTTAACAACTAATACCAACTTAGAATGTTGGTATCTCAGTCACTCCGAAAAAGCAGTACTACATAGTAGACATTTGTAAAGGTGCCCATACACCTTACAATTATCATGCGATTTATTTCTTCCTGTCATCGAACCCCCGTTCCATTTCCGTTGGAACACCCCATCATGCACAGAGCAATGTAGATTTTGATGTATCATTTGTTATTAATACTAACTGGCCGAATGTCATCGATTGACAGAATGGATTTTCAATTGCGCATGTGCAGTGCTCATGTTTTTTTTTCCCAGCCGAAAACGCCACGATCGTACGATTCGAAAAAAGTTTTCCAGCCTGGCCAATAGACAAAATTCAGCCAGTTGTACAGTAATTGTGATTATTTCACTTCCCATCAACTAGCCTATTATTGTACGAAAAACCCAATCTCTTTTGGAAATCGAACGATAATTGAAGGTGTATGGTCACCTTAACAATGCAAGCATTTCAAAAGTTACAAAAAGAAACCTTGTAAGGCTGAGGCCTTGTTCACACCAAGCGTGGAGCAGGTGCAGAGCAGTTGCAGACCGGATCAAAACTGCGTCCAATGTATTCCAATGGTATTTTTTGCTCCAGTTCACATCGCAGCGTGCAGATCCAGAGCAGGTCCAGAGCAGGTGAAAAAACTGCAGCAAGCCTTATTTTACCTGCTCTGGAACGCATAAAAAATGCATGCAAATGCCTGGAACGCACTGAAAGCCCATGTTAAACTATAAACAAAAAAATAGTAATTTTTTACCAAAAACGGCCCGGAACGCATAAAAACTGCAGCACAATCCACTGCACTGCGTGTGCAGAAACCTGAGCAGATCTGCTCTGCATTTGGTGTGAACAAGGCCTTAAAGTTCTGTGAAAATGTGCATTATTTTGCTTAATCTAGACTTGTTATAACTACCACAAAGTGCAAAAGAGAGGCTTTTTTTGAGTTGTCTGAACTGCAGTATTTAGTTTAGGTTAAATTAACTGAATTTTAATGTGCATATAACTCAGCCCTATGATATGTACGTTCTAAACTTTGTCAGCAGTGTGCTAGACGATTGACAACTGTGTACAATAAATGGTGAACGGAAGACAGCTAACATTTTCTAATACTTTCAATTCATCGCTCAATTTTGTTTTCTTTCTGAGTTTTCTAAGGATCAGTACCTCTAATTGCACTGTTGTTTCTCTTTGATGAACAGATGTCAGCTTTTAGGGTACATGTTTTCCAACAAGGTTCTTGCATTTATGATCTGTCATTGACATCCCCAGACATCTGAAAGTGGCTGGATATGCATGCACGATTTGGCAGCCTTGTGTACAAACATGACAGCTCAGCTTGGCGGAGTTTCATATTTTGTGTTGAGAGGAAGGGCAAGCATGAAAACTCCATGACTATAGGTCACTTTGGTTTATGACTCTTAGGATTTTTACTAACAGCAATACATCATCTTAACCAAGCTTTCACTGTTCTTTTGCCAGAAAAATCATTGCACCTCTGGTGACCCGTCATGGCAAACTCTGGTCAAACTACTGGGGTGCTTTAAGTCCTGATGGATTTTATGCAAGATCAGAAGATTATATTGATATTGTTCAAGGCAATAGAGTGTAAGTATTTTTTTTAACTAGCAGCTATGCCTGTTTTTACTGCACTACCTTTTTAATAAATTTGAATACTCGCTATTTTTTAGGTGGTTATTGGTAAATTGATTAGATCACTACCACTTTTTTACAACTAAGCGAAAAAATCATAGTGCTTTGATTTGTTAGTAGTAAAAATTTGTACTACATAATAGACAATTGAAACAATGCAAAAGTTACAAAATAAAACCTTGTGAGGCTTAAAGTTTTGTGCAAACTTACTATGTATGTGAAAATTGACATTACTTTGCTTAGTCTACAGTTTTTATAACTACCACTTGAAAAATTGTAAAAAAGAGGTTTTAGTGAGTTATCTGAACTTGAAGTTGTCATAACATTTACGGAGTGTACAATATCAAGTTGAAGACCTGTTCTAGCTCTTTATTGTGTTTGTCATAAATGTCTAGAGAAAAATATAAAACAGTTTTAATTTCTAAATCGGAAAGCAGCTTAACCAGTGAGACACACAATTTTTTTTTTTTTTAATGTAAAACAATGGCACCATAATCTAACACATTTCCTCCCATATTTTCATGTAGAGGTGTATGGAACATTCCATATTTAGCCAACATCTACCTAATCAAAGGACAAACCCTTAGGACTGAATTAAAGGAAATAAATAATTTTATTCTGGACAGGCTGGACCATGACATGGCACTGTGCAGAAATGCAAGGGAAATGGTAAGGTTGTTCTCAGGTTTGGTAAACAAAACTTTGTCTACCTGTATATATTTGTGTCTGTCTATTAATTCTTGTGACAAATTATCCTAAAAAGTACAAGCCACCTACAGTTTACTGTAAAATTCTTTACAGTGTTGAGCAAACATCTGTTCTTTGCACCTGCATGATACACTGCTGAGAAATGTATGATCATCCCACATTTCGTGAGCAAACTGGATAATTGTGTATACTACTGGGAAAGTAGAATAACAAAAGAGATTATATGTATGCATCTACAGTATATAACTCACTTCCTTCCTAACTAAAAAAATGACCAGTAACTTGGTTTATATAAATATTTAAACTCATATTTACTTATGTAAAGAGCTACTAAATATTGATATGACTTTTTGGTTGAGTTTAGATTTATTGTTTTATTTTATTGTCTATTCATGTTTATGGTATATTTACATCTGTATGCACAGTTCTGATCAAATATTTGTCTTTCACTTCCTTTATGCACAATTTTGTATTTTCACTAACCCTACTGTGTATTTTGGTTATGGAACAGAATCCATTTACTGTAAAGTCACTAATCCTTTATTTTTCTGAAAATATTATTGAAATGTACTTCAAAAGTTGGCAAGTATTTCAAGCTTTGATCATTTTAGATCTTGTAGCTGTCTGCGCATCTTCAATGCTTTCTATCACCTCTTTGCATTCAAAATTTCTGTTATTGCTAACAGCTTGGATATGCTTTGCAGCTCCCATGGTCAAGCACACAGTTGTCTTTCCTCATTCACTTTTCATTTTATTCTTTTTCCAAGGAGTATTAGCCTGAGAAGCTGGTCAGCAGGCATGGCAAGCCACGTTGTGCGTCATTCATAAGCTTTGCTTTAAGCTGCATGTTGTCCATACAACCCCAAAACAGCTCTTCAGCTGCCATCCTAAGCTGTTATTTTTGAATCTGTGTTTTCATGTTTCCACAGTCAATCTAGGGAAAATTTTAAGGGAAAAGGATATACAAGTCAACTTACTTGATGCTTCTTCATTTTAGAGTTTACAAGTACAGAAAGACTCCCCATCTGCAAGAACATTCCATATGTTCAGACCCCCTAAGGTTTTTTGTTACTTTTATATTTACTTCTTCTTCTAGATCTGGTCTGTTCTCTGTTTTTGATCTACACACTCTTCATGGCTCTGTTTGCAGTGGTTATCAGTAGAACAATTTTAAAACAATCAGTAAAGTTAATAAAATGTAGAAAAAGGATCAGAAGATGATTTTTTTATAGATAATTGCTTTTGTGAATATGAATAAAAGCTTTAGGCCCGGTTCACACCTGGGCGTTTTGTAGCGCGTTCCTACGCTCTGCAAAATGCTCAAACACCGAAATCCCATTATTTCCTATGGGTATGGTTCACATCTGGGCGTATTACAGGCCGTATGAACGCGCTACAAAACGTCCTACGCCCAAAGAAGTACAGGAGCTTCTTTGGGGCATTTTTGTCGCGCGCTTCCATTGGGATACAGCCAAGTAGCCCTCGGAAACGCGCGTTTGCGGTAAAAACGCGTGACACGAAATGCGCAACAAACGTGCATATTCGATACGCCTTGGTGTGAACCCAGCCTTTGGCTGGCTTTATGCCTTTGTGTTGCAGTAACACACCATGCACGTGCAGTGTATTGTGGTGCCATTCATTTTCAATAGCACCACAATGCACTAAGGCAATGCACCTGCATTGTTGGGCACCGCAACTCACTACCATGTTCTGTGGTGCAATGTGTTACCACAGAAAGGATCAAGTCTGGTTCCTAGTGTGCTGAGGTGCACAACATAAATGGGTTATCTTAACGCAACACACGTTAACATCCATCATAAAGCACGTGCAGTAACAGTGCACCACTTTAAAAAATAAATAAATCAGTTCTCATTAAGGCTATTAATTATACTATGATAGTCTTAACTTAAAGGTGCCTCCTACACAAACCAATAATATAATGCAGATTTTATACCTAATCTGGTCAGTATACATTTCTAAAGGATCCTGTTGCTGTATTCTTTCCCAAGCACATAGCACACAGATAGGATAGAGTATCCTGTGCTGGGACAAATGTATTTGGCACCCAAGATGAGGTCTCCAAAGTGCAGCCTTACCCCTTAGGGCTAGTTCACACTAGTCACAGTGCGTTCCGGCTCAATTCTGGCCGGAATGCATTGAAGCTCATTGTGGCCAGCTTAGTTTGTTGTGGGGCGCAAGGGTCCTTGGCAGTGCGTTGAACTCAACGGCACCGTAGCCACACCCTCTGGCCGCAATGTGATTGGCTGCATGGGTACACAAGGCACATCAATGCCTGCAGTCCGGTCTGGTCCAAAAAAATGCTGCAAGCACTTTTTTTTTGCCTGGACTGGAACGCAGGCATTGATGTGCCAAACGTCCCCGTGCGGCCAATCGCATTGTGGCTTTAGGGCACCACCATGCCACCTCCCACCCCACAACAAACAGCACCGGCTGCAATGCGATCCAGTGCGTTCCGGACAGAATTGGGCTGGAATGCACTGTGGCTGGTGTGAACTAACCCTTAAGCTGAGAAGGATGCAACTTGTACTTCAACATATAGAGAGGCAGGGCCAGTGAAGGGTGTAAAAACGACAGTTGTTGTCCTCTGGTCCTCAGGTTGCCACCTTTTGGTCCATGGATGACACAACTAAATTGGGAAGTGTTAAAACCAAGCCAGGTTTCCATTAAAGTGGCATTAAACTCAGACGTTAAATCTTAAAAATGCATTCAAGTACCTTAACTATTAACAGACATGTAGCTTATTTGTGGATCACTCAGCTGTAGCTGTTCAAATCATCTCTGAATTCATGCTCACACTGTCCTTCCTGGAGGGTGGCTACTTTTGTTCCCCATGGTCCCTGTGTGTGTTGTAAAGTAGCCACTGCTCCAAGCTCACTCCCGTGTTGGTCTACAATCTCAATACAAACTGGTAGACTACAATCTCATGTTTAGTTTATCGGGAGTGGAGTGAGCTTGGTGCGGAGCTTGGATTGGATGGGGAACAACAGTAGCCACCCTCCACAAGGAAGGACAGTGTCAGCACCAATTCAGAGATGATTTGAGGATCTACAGCTGAGGGATATGCAAATAAGATACATTTTTGTTAATAGTTAAGGTACTTGAATAATTTTTTAAGATTTAACTTCTTTGCTTAGTGTCACTTTAATATTATTGTAACCAAATTTTGTTCATCCATTTGGGAAATAAAGTAGTTTCTTAACTCATGAAAAAATTTGGTTTTTTTTTCTGCTGATAAAGCCACTAGAAGTATGTTTCTGTAAAAATAATGTTTTAAATACAAAATGACAACAACAGACTAATGCACATTTATATAAAATTGGTTAAAGGAATGATCCATAATATATTTTATACATTAAGTATATTTGTTTGACATTTTACACAAAACAGCAGTTTATGAATGAAGACTGTAACAGTAGCTGTCCTCCTTAAATAAATGCAGAACAGAACTCGGCATTCACACTGACAGCTAAATCCTACAGATTACACTCGAAAAAATATGGCTCTTGCCATGCCTTGTGTCAACCCTGTACCCAGATGTATAATGATGGCATCAGTGTTTGCTTGTGCTGTCCCTGTTACTGTCTAAATGGTTTTTCCAAGCACAATATTTCAGACCATATGTGTCTATAGCTAGATTTTTTATGCATCTATTCTCTAAATTGAGCTGTCAAAACTACTGGTGCATGGACGACTTAAGAAATAGCATCCTGCCTGGATGACTCATTAGGTAAAAACAACTGCAGTTTTCACTTGGCTTAATAAACAAAAATTCAGCAACTGGCACACAATCATGCCGTGGCAACCACAGCATCACAAAGCTTACACAATGGCCAAGGAATCCATGCTACACATCTGGCTAAACTTCTTTGTTTTAACTACTTTTGTTTCTAAAAAAAAACCACTTTCAAATTGGGTAAGCAATTTATAGGTATTGGTCTAAAAAATTGGGCCTAACATGTTTTTTTCTCTGAATATTACTTATTTTTCTCCACTCATTGAAGCTTTTTTTTATTCTTGAAGTTAGAACTGCATAGTTACCTGCAATCTGGCAAAAAAAATATTTTCTTTTAATCTGACGAACATCTTACTCCCTTACTCAAGTTTGGTTATTTGTGAAATATGGAGATAGCCATCTAGAAATAAAGGTACTGCGCTCACCAAAGTGAACCATGCAAACCATATCATTTTGCTGCCACTTTTTTTTAGATTTTTTTTTGCTTTGAAATTTAAGTTGAAGGGTAATTTATATTGGCTATAAAAATATCATTGGTTTACTGAGAAGGAAAGACAGCAATGATCTTTGTTTAACGCTCGGTTACCTCTGCTCCTGTGGGGGTATTGTTTGGGAATACTGTAAAAAATCCACACAATACATCTGCTGTATAGCAATAGCCATATCAATACTTACCTCAGATTGTTTTCACCAGACTACAAAATGGACAATACCTATTCAAATGATGAATCAAAAATAATTGTAAACAATATATGAAATTATCATGTTAGTACCTGTTGGTCTGGGAAAAAAATCACTAAAACATTTGCCTTTTGCTGATTTAATATAGGTGACTATATGAAAGGGGTTGAACAAATAAAACCTGTAAAAGTACTACCTGTTTATAAGTCAACTATTCTGACAGTTATCATAAGTTAAAGTGTATGTTTGGGCAAAATAAAAAATATAGGTGATAGGAATAGTATAGGAAATAGAGGTGAGCCCAGCAGTCCATTATGAATAGTAGGTGTGAATTTCTGTGATCTTGCATGGAAATATTTCTGGTTTTAGGGACATGTTTTGATGGAGATAGATTTACACATTATACAATGCTGCCATAGTACATTATGTTATGACACTGTAGCACATTATACAAAGCTATGATGGGAACTAATATCAAGCTGCGTGAATAGTTTTATTACCCAGCAAGAGCATATCATGCCACAAATCCTATATAAACTGCAAGAACACATTATACAATGTGGCCATAGATGTGTTATATTAAGTCATATCAGCACATGGGTGTAGAGATAAAATACAGCAGAACAAAAACGGTTGATCTGGCAGAAATCCAATAAGCTCTTAAATTCCCATTTAAGCTAACAGCATAGTGCCTCTGCTGCATTGAAATCGTAAACAGTGTTGTCATCCCTGCCCAGTTTTCTGTTCTAGACCACACAACACTTTCCCCTCCCCTCATCTTAGAAGAAGAGGTGCTTTTGTAGTTCAGCAGTGGAGAACTCAGGAAGGGCTGACAACAGTGCTTTGAACTTCAGTGCAGCAGGGACAGGGTTGTCAGATCAAACACGGTTAGGAGCTTTCTGGATTTCAAACAGGATCAACTAGTATTTTTCTGTTGCATCTTTTTTAAAGCCCCTTTTCAGGCTATATCGCGGGACAAAGAAAAAAAAAAGTCCCAATTTAAAAGCCCTTTTTTTTTTAAACCTATCTTAAGCCATGGTCACGTGATGCTGCTGCTTGGGCCCTTCTTTGGGTGTCCATTTCAGCGTCAACATACAGCACCTGCAAGATATGGATAATTCCTATTGGATATCCATCAAGAGGAGTTCTTTTATCGTCCACAAGAGGTGATGTCATTAGAGGGGAGTGAAGGGAACCAGCAATCTTAGGCACCATTCAGTTTCATGGTCCTCACACCTGAAAACAGCAGCAGCAAGGGTCATGAAGGAGGGATGTAGTTGAGTGTATCTGATTTCACAAGGTAAGGTAAAAAAAACAAGTAACAGGTTTAGAGGTGGGTGAAAGGGAGGAGTTGGAAAAAAGATAGTTTTTGCCCAAAATGGGTCTTTAAAGAGACATATTGCCATATTTTGCAGAGAGATACTAAATATGTTTGTTTTTTTTGTAAACTTTGCATAGACATACACTTGAATACTGTATGCTTAGTCCGAGGAAGCAACCCCTTTAATATGTCATTTTAAACATGTTGTGCCTTTTACTCTGCTTTATAACCGTTAAAGGAAGTTTACTAAACTTTGCTGAAGTGCAAGTCATTATTATTACTTAGTCATTTTAAATGCATAGGAACATTGAACAAAGCAATTTGTAAGCTATTCACATGGAAGCCTTTTTTTCCATCTCTGGGAATATACAGGAAAGGGTTCGTTTAATAAAATCATTTTTGGAATGAATCATTGCAGTGTTTGATTTCCTAAGCAACACTAGAAAATGTCATGATTTTCTGAAGATTTTTTTTTTCATTCACCTGCAGGATTAAGGGGGTCTACTAATATGTTTCTCCTTAATTGTCTTAGGGGGTTTTCATGTACATTACAAATCGCCATGAATTTGGAAGACTTCTTTCAACAGCTAACTATAATATTTCTCACTATAACAACGACCTTTGGCAAATATTTGAAAATCCTGTGGTATGTATCCAAGAAGTAGATATATACAATATATAATAATATTAAAGATAAATACATAAAGAGAAAAAGTATGTTTTCAAAAGTACAGGAAATATATAGTCCTATTGCTGCAATGTTTTTCAGTGGTGCCAATTCACAATAATGGCTTGTATTCGTGTGAACTGAAAAAAAAACTAGGACAGTTTGCATTTTTTTTAAAGCTTCTAGCAAGAACAGGACAGGGAAAGCAGATGCACATCCAATTGTAAAATCACATCATCACATGTGTCTTATCCCATCTTGCTGTGTAAATGGGCCATAATAGATCAGTATGGCCCAGATAATCATGTGTATGTTTTGTGTGCTGCTCCTTCTCATAATCTAAGGCCCACATAGACATTTGCGGGTAATTGGATGTGTAGGATTATTCTGACCGTCTTCAGGGATATGTATCTTCCGGTGTGATCATGAACATAAATAGTTGTCATCCAATCTATCATGTCTAGATAGGAGAGGGGGGTTCTGACATTCTTACCATGAACAAGCCTCACCTGCAAGGCTCCTACTAGATACAAGACTAAGGTCTAATCTCACCAGCCACATTGGGTTACATTGGGCAGGATTGCACAACTCAGTCAACAAAAGAATTTGTCTAATAGCTTATTGTTTGAGCTCACAACAATGCACTGCATTGGTCTGCAATGAAAAACAGTAGGACAGGTTGCATAGTAACAATGCAAAGCAGTGTAACACAGCACCCCGATACAGCACATACCTATGGACGTGCATTATACAGAGCATAACGCATGCCCACTGGAGTAAATGGACCCTAGCATGGCCATAGTGGGAGACTGCCACCAATATACACATCTGTTCAGATTATGTTAGCTTGTGCAGTATGTTACTTACAACATGGACACAGTACAAAAAAATTCTTTTTTGGCTATGAACCTGCTACTTCATAGCATATAACATAAGGGGATTGTTATTTATGTAACTAAAATGTGTAGGTCAACACCTATCTAAATTCTAGACTACGTTAGCAATTTTAATGTCACGGGACTGAAATAAACGTGCTGAAAATGTAATGTCTGGTAGTAAGAAAATACACTTCTCAGCAGCATGAGCTACAAATCTTTCATGTAATTTAGACAATATCTCCACTGCATTAAACATTTTTTTTTGCCTATGTGGTTACATAAAAAAGTGCCAGTTCTTAAAAGAAAATCCAAATCATTAACTGACCACCCACAGGTTAAATTCCTGCTGAGTTGGCCAACATTTGGCATGTGGGTGACCCTGATGCCACAACTCTTTAACAAAAGACGATTTTGCAATCAACTGTTGTCAAAGGAGCCAGTTGGAAAAGGATTGACCAAACACTACCTATATCCAATCAGTTGCAGGCACTATTGGGGTTATCAGCAGCTGTGCTGTTTAGCATAGGTAGGGGAATCTAATCATTTCTATTATTCAGCCTGCAGCATATGGCCAGCTGTAGCCCTCATTCACACCTACAATGTAGGTGCGTTCAGGGATTCCGGCGTCAGGAAATTTCCTGCAGCTCCTCTCCGTACCGAAGGGGACAAGTGCCTCGTCCTCAACCCTGATCACGTGGTTGTGGGGGTCTGCGGGCAAGGGGGTTTATTTGCAGCGGGGTACCCCTTTAATTAAGTGGGCACCCAGATGCCGCCCCCCTCCCTTGTGAATAAGTAAGGGGTACTTTTACCCCGTGCCCATTCACTAAAGGGTTAAATAAAATAGTTAAGTCCAGACTTTCAATAAAATCCTTTAATTGAAAAAAAATACATGTTTTTGACAAGTCACCCCTTTAAGGGGCACCCAGATGCCGCCACCCCCCTTGTGAATTAGTAAGGGGTACTTTTACCCCTACCCATTCACTAAAGTGTTCAAAGATAGATTAAATAAAAACACCAGACTTTAATCAAATCCTTTATTTGAAAAAGAAACGCAACAAAGGATTTTTGACAAGTCCTTTTATTTTTTATTTTAAAAAAAAACCAAAAAATTGATCCACTGACGTAATCCAGGGTCAATCACGGAGTCCAGCATTGTCCACGACGATGACAAAATAAAAAATAAATAGAAATATTTTTTTTAAATGCCGACCGCCGTCCCGTCCTCTACCCGTTGACTCCCGCCGCATAATGGCATTTTGACAGATGCCGGCAAAACATACACGATTGGGCGGAGCTAGCGGTGACAGCTAGCTACACCAAATTGTGTAGTTTGCCGTCATTTGACAGGCGAGACATGATTGGGCAAAATCATCATGGCTTTGTCCAATCATGGCTCTAACTCAATACTGAGCCCTGATTGGGCAAAGTCTTGCACCTGACCTGTGGTCAGGTGCAAGCCTTTAACCAATTAGAGCTTCAGAGGGCGCTTTGACTTGTGGGACGTTGCACGGTCGAACAGACCGCAAACGTCCCAAAAAGTTCAGTGTTCGGCGAACGCTTGAACAGGTAATGTTCGAGTCGAACTTGCAGCCCATCTCTAATTGCTGGTGTAAATGAGGGCTTACTGTGTTTTATCTAGCCACATACTACAGTCTCCTTTCCTTATGAAAGGCAATTTTGAATCAATTTACAAAACCAATGCAATAGGTGGTATTTCTGTTTTTGCTCTATAAGCATATTGATATGAATGAATCGTGGGCATTTCAGAGAGTCAGACTGCTTAGTTATAGATTTTAACAGATGGTCATTTTAAGTGACTTAAGTGAGTTACACATAACACAACTGATTTTTTTTTTTTTTTTTACAGGATTGGAAGCTAAAATATATAAATGCCAATTACTCCAAGATCTTTACAGAAAGCATTGTTGAACAGGTAAGAAAACAATTAGGATGGGGTTGTTCCACAGAATCCCACACACATAAATGTAAAAACATTAGTTGTATTCCTTAAACTGTTTAAATGAAATTTAAGACAATGCCTGGGAGCTAATGGCATACTATTTTATATTAGTAGGTTATTTACTTTGAGCTGGTCAGGCAATATTTCGTTACAAGTCCGTTACAGTCAGTCTGTTTTCAGGCACTGGAGGCTGGAGGGCAGCATACAAGGGTGCACAAGAATACTTCAGCTATATAAAATGATCTTTCATAATTTGAGAGAGCATGTGACACAGGAAAGCTGTGATGCTGCAATATAAAATATGAGTGTCTCCATGTTGCCTTTGCAGTTTGACATAGTTGTGTGAATCAAATGAGTGACTTGGCAGCTCACCAAGATTTGAATAAGAGTATACAGTACATGCCTCTTGTATTAAGTTAATATTTGCTTATCCCTGCGTAAAAGAAACTAAAGCTGTATCATGGATACTTCAACATAAAGTATGAGCCTGAAGTATATTTATTTTTTCCAATACAGCCCTGTCCAGATGTGTTTTGGTTTCCAGTATTTTCTGATCAGGCCTGTGATGAGATCGTTGAAGAGATGGAACATAATGGACAATGGTCTGGTTCAAAACATACAGTAAGTAAGCTGAATTGCCTAAAGCATCAGTAGATCAGAGTTATATTTGTGGTTGGAGCAGGTAGATTGTGGCATACGGCTCCTAACACAGAGATTGTGTATGTGCAGTGTATGCCAAAGTAACAATATTTCCTAACTAATGAACTCCCTGAACAATTATCTGTGCTCTACCTGAATCCTAAACATCTTATCTAACCTCTAAGACCCTCCCCCCCAAACTTAACTCCCTAACTATCACTTAACATTTAAAGCAGTGCTGTCCCTAAAATAAATGTTTCAAATTGAGCTATACTTGTAAAATTTGACTGAATACTCCCCTTTTCTGTTGCCCCTATTCCTGCAAAATGTCTCTCCACTCTTGGGAAATCGTAATGTAAAGTCTTTTGGGAAAGTGACACTTCCAGGAATTTCCATCTCCTGGAACTTGCACAGTTCTCATTGGTTTCTTCTGCTGACCTCTACATGGGAGAGAGTAGTGATGTAGAAGTCCGCAAAAAAAAACAGTGAAAGCTTTGAGATACCCAAGATATTGATACTCTTGGAAGTATCTGTTTTCTTGTGGACTTTAATTGATGATTTGTCAGGATTGAAATGCCATTATGTGGTGAATCCAGAAGGAAACGTGAATGTGTGCAGTCTTCTTTTATAGGTATGGTTTTTAACATAATTATTCATTATTAATCATCCATGATTAAAAATTGATAATTCAGAACAAGGTAGCGATTTTATTAACCCGTGTCTTCTTTTTTTCTAATTAGGACAAACGAATTACTGGAGGGTATGAGAATGTTCCAACAGACGATATTCACATGTCTCAGATTGGGATGGATAATGAATGGATCCACTTTATTAGAGAATACATTGCTCCAGTAACTCTCAAAGTGTTTGCTGGCTACTATACCAAAGTAAGACCTTTCTTCCTAAATGTCTAATATGAGACATTATTGGTACTTTTACTTTGAGTTTTACTTGCAAAAGCCATTTTCATAGTTGCTATAGATTTATGGCAATCCCATAGCTTTTCTCTGATGCTTGTTACTTAAAAGCTTGTTTTTTAAATAATACCATACCAAATATATTGTTTTTTTTTCAGGGCAGATCTTTACTCAACTTTGTGGTAAAATATACTCCTGATCGACAGTCTTACCTGAGACCTCATCATGATGCTTCAACATTTACCATCAACATAGCTCTCAACAAAAAGGATACTGATTTTCAGGTAATTTTTGTGAGAAAAATATTGCACTGAAGCTGCACTGGTGTCATGTAAAGTGGCCCGTTTACCTGCTTACTGGCTTTAAGGAACATCTTTGCCAAGCATTTTATTCAATGTAAAATTGGACACTACATATCACTGGTGAAGTTTCAGAAAAAAAGTTGTCCTGTGCTATACCCAGATAGGGCAAAGCAACAAAATTGCATTAAACCCCTCTCCCCAGCAGCACCTTACCTTTGTATCACAGTGCACCCCTGCTGCCCCATTCAGCAGCCAGAAGCAAAATAATACCTGGTTCTGCAGGTTATGGAGGAGCATGTGACTCATTCCACATGACAACGCTGGGCCAATCATCAAGTAATAATGCTGTCACATGGGCAGAGTCCATAGTCCTGTGTTAGTTACTAAGGATGGGCTCGGGCGTGTTCGCAGCTCCACGTGCCGAGCCCGCCAGGAAGCTGACAATGCGCAGCGCCAATCACAGGCACTGAGAAATTGCCCAATCTCTGCAGCTGTGGGCCGGGAAAATGTTTCAGTACCTGTGATTGGTGCTGTTAGCTTCCTGGCAGGCTCGGCACGTTGAGCTGCGAACACGCCCAAGCCCATCCTTGTTAGTTACGACTCAAGTAACTCATAGCTTACACAGGGTGGTTTCTCCTGGCAGCTGAACTGAAGCATGTCACAGCTAAAGAGGTCTAAACTAAGAAGACAAAGTGCAGGATACAATGAAATATAGGATCTGATATTACTGACTTGATTTAGAAGGTACAAGTTTTAGGGCTGTCATCCTTATTTCCCTTTCACTATTTGGAGATTCACTGGTTATGCAGAAGTATGTGAACATTAGGTTTCCCTCCCCAACACTAGTTGTATGCATGTTCTGGGTAGTGACCTATTGAGTATTGAAGCAAGAGTGGGGATGAAAGCTTAAAACTTCATCACCAATAACAGCATCCATATTTTAAATAGACAGGTACTCTTTAAAGGTAATAATGATTAATAGGCTAGTAAAATATATGTTTTGCCATGTAAAGCAGCTGCTAAGAATATTCATGTTTTATTGTCCGCTATATAGTGCTCGTTTTTTTCTTTTGGCTAGAAATGTCATCTATTAGAGCTTCACCAATAATGGGGTACAGGGCAGTAACTTATGTGTGATGGGGCCCCATAGCTAATAATGGGCCTTCTTACCTTTCTATTGCTACCTGCATAAATCTCTGTGACTATAATCATTGCTTCCAGCAGGTGCATTGTCTTCTTTGCCTTGAGCTTTGAACTCGATTGAGTAGTATAATATCAAAAGCCAAGAGATTGTTGCAGATATTTTCTAACTGTTTCGTTTTCTAGCTCCTTTTTTTTAGCAAACTAAAGCATGCTCACAATTAGATTTGTTGGGTCTCTAGCAGTTTTAACAAGGATTGCCTGTATTCTGCAACATCTAACAAAGATGTGCCTATGTACAGTATACTGTCTAAATGTTTCCATTTGCTAGAAGCTTGGTGCAGCTTGCTCTCCGTGTTCTGCAGTTTAGACTAAAAGGGATGTAGCAGTAATTGCCTAAAGTATCCTTTAACCAATTCCGGGCCGCACTATATCTATAGACGGCAGCATTTTTAACAGCCAGCTGTTAATGTACAAGCAATCCGGCATCTATACAGCCGTCGGATCGTTTGTACCGTGCTACACCCCCCCCGCCCCCTGGCCGGGGCTGCCGTTGGTTTCCCCGGTCTCCGCAGCAGCTTGGCAGGTCTCTCCACAGCCACTGATCTCTCCTCCAAATACTAGACCCGAAAGTCACGTTCGGTGTCACTATTCACAGTCTTCAGCTCGTAGAGCGAGGAGAAGAAGCTGGGGAAGCAGATCTCTACTTCTTCAGCTTCTTTGGGATCCCTAGGTGACATTAGGGGTCCGAAAGACCCCTGATGTCTCCATAAAGAGAATCTGTCATGTCCTGTTTTCTATTACAAATAAGGTTAGTGTAAAAAAAAAAAGTGTTTCAAAATTAAAAAAATTAAAGTCACCTATAAGAAAAATAAAAAATGCAAAAAAAAGTTTTGAAAGTCCCCCGCCCCCCACGCGCACACACAAACACGCGTTGGTGCGCCTACGTGTGAAAACAGCAATTGCACTACACATGTTACATATCGCCGCGAACGTCGGAGTGAGAGGAATAATTCTAGGGCCATCAATCACTGTAACCCCATCTTTCATATTTTACCAAACATTATATTATGTTTCTGTGCACTAAATTTTAATTTAATTTAATTTTTTCCTAAAAATACTGGTTTGATAAACATTTGCGCAAAAACTGTGCAACATAAAAAAATGCAACTAGCATTTTTTTAATTCTACGGGGCCTCTGCTTTCAGAAGATTGGGGACTTGAAGCTGTTTTCTAGCCACCAATTTATATTTTATCATGTGTGTGCAAATAGTAAGAAAATGCTCTGGACAGCAAGTGGTTAATAGAATTACATAATGGGAATCACACCTTTAAACTCAATTACCTCAAATTTCTGGAATTTATTAGAAAATTACAGATATATAAGAATATATTGATTTGAAAAAATAAGTTTTAATTTAGGCTTACTGGCCCTTTAGGTACAAACTTTTAGACTGCCTCAATCGCTCTTAGTGAATGGACAGCAGGAGCTGCAAACTTCTCTTACTAGTGAATTTTTGAGCTTGTATGTTACATACCATATGCTACATCAAGAAGTGCTGATACTACATGATGTTCTTTCTAGGGCATTAAGAGATTTTTTTTCAAAAGCAAAACCTCATTAACTTGTCTTTGAAGAAACCCTTTCATCTACGGAAACATGGGGTTAATATACAATGTCTTCTAACACGTTTATATAACAGGTTCCCTAGATAACCTCTTCGGTATAAACAAAAAAATAGTACACTGCCTGTTATAGTTTCTTATTTTTAAAGCACTACAATTAAAGTGCCAATAAACTCAAAAGTCCCTTAACTATTAACAAAATGTATCTTATTTGTGTATCACTCAGCTGTAGATCCTCAAATCATCTTTTCATTCTAGTTGACACTGTCCTTCCTTCTGGAGGTGGTATCTTTTCATTCCTGCTGACACACAGGGTCCCCATGGTCCCTTTTTGTGCTGTAAAGTAGCCACTGCTTTAAGCTTGCTCCCGTGATGGACTACAATCTTAATACAAATTAGTAAACTAAATGTGAGATTATAATGGGAGCGAGCTTGGAGAGGTGGCTACTTTACAACACACAGGGACCATGGGGTACAAAAGTAGCCACCCTCCAGAAGGAAGGACAGTGTCAGCACCAATTCAGAGATGATTTGAGAATCTACAGCCAAGTGATACACAGATCAGATACATTTTTGTTAATAGTTAATGTACTTGAATGCATTTTTTAGATTTAACTCGAGTTTAGGGACACTTACATTTTTACAGCAATTTTTTGTTTTTATATGCATAAAAATGGAGTATTATGATTACAAATTTGGTGGATGAATTAAATGATTAAAATATTACCATGATCTTTCTAGGAAATAATACATTTGTGATCTTTCTTTGTGCAGGGAGGTGGATGCAGATTTGCCAGGTATAATTGCTCAATTGATTCACCAAGAAAGGGGTGGAGCTTCATGCACCCTGGGCGACTCACACACTTGCATGAAGGACTTCCTGTGACGAATGGGACAAGATACATTGCAGTTTCTTTTATTGATCCATGAACTCTGGCAGACTCCTGAACCCATCAGCAAACTAATTTGGCTTTTTGTATTTTTTTATTTATAGAGTTTTTGTTTAAATTCAGATAAGAGTATTTACTACTGTTTTAAAAGAATATGGAACAATAATGGTACTTGGGGACCAGCAAAATATGCATCCTGAATATCACATTGGATAAATCCCCTTACTGCTCGCCATGTTGTTTTTTTTAAACTCCAAGAATACAGAGACAACTGATTACTGATTGATAAAAGTAAGACTTTCAAGTTCCAGCATGAAGCACACAAACAAGAAAGCCACATGGTAATTTGAATCTCTTTTTTTGTGGGCTGAAGCAGTATTCAACCAATTGACTAGGAGCTAGTGACATCACTTGAACATGGTTCAGCCCATAAAAAAGTTTGAATAAACACATAAGTAGCAGATGAACGTAATTATTGTCACTGACGTATTTAAGATAATAGTAATATATGACTGCATTTCAAGCAGTTATGCCTCGTAGCACAATCTTCAAAAATAGACTTTTTTTAAAATCTAAATGATACAAGTTTGTATTTGTTTTGCACTGCAGTCAATTTGTAGCTTTAAGGGAATCTATCCTGAAGCAAAATAACGGCCTATGTCAACTGGCTTTTGTTTGCCTCAAGTGAGTTTTGCATTCCCCTACAAGTCTGTGGGAATGCAAAACCCATTTAAAGCAGGACAAATGCAGGTCAAAAAAGCTCATCTGCAAGACAAACGTATCTGTCAATGAATTCTGAGTTATCTCAGAAGCATCTCAAACTGATGTCAAACTGATGCCATTGATACAAGCCTAAAGCCTGCTGACACAGGCCCTAGGTGTCTCAGAAGACTCTGTTCTGGTTCCCTGCAAGGGACGCCATTGTCTGGGAATTACTATACAGCCTATGAGTTGGGAATTTGAATCTTCTCAGCTCATTCTTTTGACACACAGGTGCTTTGCTTATAGACAGATTTCCTATAATATACATTTTTACCTCCAAAAACTGTGAGTCTGCAGTCTAAAACCTCTAGAAAAGTATAATGTTAATGTAAGTTTGCAAAGACAAAAGACCCAGTGTACATATAATATTTATTATGGCAAACGGATTTATTTTTCCAAAGAAACAAAATATCCCATTGCTGTCACTCTTAAGTAACAAGAAATCACCTAAATATAACAAAAATAGATACATCATGAACACTGCCAAGTACATATGTTATGTCATGATAGAATGCTACACTTACAGCAGGCTTAATTTATCTGTGTTTTTATAGTCCAAAAAAGGCTTGTGGTGCATCTTCCATGGAAGATAGAAAGCAAACTTCTTGTTTGCTTTCTTTAATGTAAAAAGCCTATATTCATTCTACTCATTAATTTAATTAACCGTTTCCTGCCCTAAATATTTGTTTTTAAAATGAAAAGCAGAAACTTAAGACCACAACAGTTAAAGTACAGCAATTGCAAATAAAATAAGAAATATTCAGAAATTAGTCTTTCAGATCTTCAGGTCACATAATTGTGCAAGTATTTTTTTTTAATAAAAAGAAAAAAAATTTGCTTTTTCCATATGCCAGAACTGTGGCCTAAATAAGCGACTTGCTCATTATACCTATTAAAAAAAAAAAGAAAAAAACATGTAATACCATTATCATCAGTATTGTTCTGCAAAGTGCTATTTTTGCTGTATACTGAATAATTCAGCATTTTTTGTTTCTTTACCACAAGCAGTCATGGCCTAATGTATGTCGCCCTTAAAGCAATAATGATAACTTTAGACGTAAAGGTGGGACAGTGTCGGCATCAATTCAGAGATGATTTGAGGTTCTACAGCTGAGTGATACACAAATAAGATAAAACATTGTTTATTAGTTAGGTTACTTTAGTGCATTTATAAGATTTTAGTGTCACTTTAGTGCCACTTTAATGCTAGATGCACTAAAGCAGTCAGAATTGAGCAAAGTGCCATTGATACTGACATTCTTGTCCAAGTACATGTTTCTATAACATATGGTTTCATGTGCAACAGATACAAGGTTAGAAGCCTATATAAATAAAAAAATAAAGATTGATTGACTGCTATGGGCAATATAAACCATTTCTTCCACTTTTTATATACGCTACAGTAAAGTAGTTGTATCATCAGTTATTTCAGTCCTAGAATGCTACATAAATGACCAACGTGCCGAAAAAAGTTAACGGATTGTTTGCCAATGATGTTTTGTGCCTATCTGATAAATGTATGTGACTGACAGCTTTCCTTATTTTTAAAAATGTTATAGATTATACCGCAAAGTGCCTTCATTGCCTCTAGACAAATTTGTTTCAGCAAACATTTTATCATATTTTTTTAAGCATTTTAAGTTGCTACAAAACTGTTTCTATGTTGTAACTGAAATTTTGGTTTTGTAGAAACATTTTACATTCTATAAAAGTGCAGTGCTGGATTGATGAAGTTAAAGATTTCAATTTACTTGAAATTGTGTTTGAGTCTGCTGTTAAGCCTTCTTGTGTTTTTATTTTATTTTATTTTTCAAACAAGGTGATCTCTTTTTAAAAAAGAAAAAAAAAACTTTTTAAAATGTTTCATTATGCAATATTTGCAAATATGCAGTTTTTTTTATTTGCAGTACTTGAAGAGAAAAGCCTTAAAGTGTCAGTGATCTCACGTGTTTGTGATAAATAAATGTTAATTTAAAATAGTTTTTGGCTTGTGTCTTTCTTGTTAAAACTGGGCAGATTTTGGTGGGTTGTATCACCAAGCTTCTTTGTATATCAGCCTTAACTCTTGTGGCAAGAACTTTGCACTTGATTTAACAGCTCTTACCATCTGCTGTGATTACTGTGGGACCATCTAATTCTCCCTGACACAATTGCAGACATTGGATTTTTCATTTGTGGTGTTGATTAGCATACAGTTAGGGAGGGCAGGGAGTTGGGAAAAAGTGTCAGGCCTTGTTCACATAAGCTTCAGGTTGGTTAAAACCAGTAACTTCACACATATGCACTGAAGTAACAAGCTGCTACTACAGTAGTTGGTAGACACCATTGTTATTTGATGTGCACTTCCCCCTTTATTTAACATACTATGGACAGTTTATGGCAATAATGAACTACATTGTAAATAAAACATGTAAAAAAGGCAGATTTGAAGTTGCAGACTCTATTTCAGCATGAAAATCCAGGTATGTAAGACCTATTTTGCTTATGTGGACAAAAAAAAAACTAGCCAAAAAAAGTTCTGTCACAAGCAGGAGCAAAAGAAGCTTCCTCACAAAACAACGTTCATTAGGTTTTTTTTCCATTTTTATGAATGCATTCAATCCTACCCCGCAGGTCAAATTTAGTTTAATCCTCTTTTGTGCTAATTTTTTGAAAAGTGAAAAATCGTAACACAGCCCTATAGAGTGTGGTAACTCACTGAAACCAGTTAAATGTACCCATGGTTGAAATATAACTGACGTTTGAACTTGGATCACTCCTTGCTCTTGCTTTAAAGAAGTGGAGCGGTCTGTGGGGTTGAGGATCCGGATCATCCTCTGCGCATCTTGCCTGTCTTCTTTTCTATTATGCTTCTTGACCATTCTTTACTTCTCTTGTGCTGTAACTCTCTTCTTCCAATACCCCTTCTTTCCACCTTTTTCTTTTGGGTGTGTTTTACTTGAGCTGAGCATGACCCTCCTTGTATCCTTGTGTTACAGATTTCAAATAGGGGTTAGTTCGTTCCAGGCAGGCTGTGTTTCTCCTTGGGTTGGGCCTGGGTCATTTCGTCAAGACTCAATGGTAGGGGGAATGGCTGGGGACTACCTTTGGGGCACATTTCTTTTAACATTATATCTATTGCATTTAACAACTTGTCTCATCTGTTGCTTATTTTACAGGTGTAAATGTCCCAGTCATTATTTGCTTTTATGCTGGTAATTTACTTGCTCCCTTTTTTCCTATACTCTTATATTATATTTTTGTTATGCTATTTTTTGACATTAATAAAAATATTTGTAAAAGATACCAGTTAGATTTCAATTGGCTAGAGCTATAAAGTAATTTCTGGTTGCTATAGGTTACTACACTTTGCATTGCCCTAATCTGGCCATACTCAAACAATAAGATATTATCTCTTTGTAGAAAAACCTGAGTATTTTAATTGCAGAAGGAAAAATGTTTTCTTGGTTATGCTGACTCATTGCCTTTCAGTGAAAGATTTTTTCAATGTATCTATAGGGCCCATTCACACTAGTCTGTCCATTTAAAATACTGTGTTTTAGCAGGCGGGCTAGTGCATTGTGGCAGCTCCCATGAGTGTGAGTTGAATGACACATTGCTGGAGCTGTAACTATTTAATTTTTAACTTTATTGGTAGTGTATAATGTGTCTGCCATGCGGTGACATGCGTTGGGTTATTCACTATTCACTAAAGACCTGAAGGACTAAACCGAAGCTAAAAAAAAAAGTGTGTGGGGTTCCCCCCCAAAGTCATACCAGGCCTTTTTTAGGCCTGGTAGGGATTTTAAAGAAAAACATGAGGTCCCCCCTAAAAATTCCAGCCAGGCCCTAATCCGAGATCAGCGAGCGGCCCTCCCTCCCTGCACCATACCAGGCCACATGCCCTCTGCATTGGGAGGGTGCTTTTCCAGGGTCCCCCCTGAAAAGCACCTTGTCCCCATGCTGATAGGAACAAGGACCTCTTTCCCCATAAGCCCTGACCCATTGGTTGTGGGGGTCTGCGGGCAGGGGGGTTTTGCATTGGGGTACCCTTTTAATTAAGGGGCATCCTCCCCTTGTGAATGAGAACAGGGTACCCCTACTGATTCACTAAATGGTTAAAGTAAAAGGTAAATAAACAGCCCACACTTTAAGAAAAAAATATTTTTAATTGAAATAAAAATAAAACAATAGTTGTTGACAAGTCCTTTAATAAAAAAAATAAAAATCCCAAAAATTGATCCCCCGAGGTAATCAAAGGCTCAATCATGACATCAGCATTGTCCACTATGATAACAACTCATCAAAATAATAAAAAAAAACGCGCTCACTGACACGTCCGCACCTGACAAACTGCCCCTGCAGAATGAACAATATGACACATGCCAGCAAAATGTCAACAGATAGGTGGAGATTAGCCATACAGGGCTGAAATGAATAGCCGAACGGTGTTCAGCCCACTTTACCTCGACTCGGTTATTCATATTCAC